TCAGCAGGATTATTTCTATTGTGATAGTTTTGTGACGTGTATTCGCACACACAGCTAAAATTGCCATTTTCCAGTCCTGACATGACTTGTCCACCAGATGCCACCTGGGTTCACTGAGAAATCCATGTAATTTCTGTTGTAATGTGGCTATTGCACACCAGGTGGAAAGGATCAAAATGTTTCTTATTGTGTGTTGGGCAGTTCATCTCCTGCTTGAAGAATCGGGTTAATTACAACTATTTTTTGTTGGACTGAAACCTTTTCCTGTTAGTAAATTGTAATGTACAGTACAGTATAATTGTTATTGTATTCTACTGTGCTGACTTCCAGTTCTGCTTCTCTTACAGGCACTATATTCACACTGCCATATGCCATATCCTCAGATCATGTAAATGAGTGGCCTATTTACATTCACCCCATCAGTGAAACATTATTACAGTCTACTGTGTTCTCTCTTTTTTATGGAGCCATTTCCCCAGTGCTGTAGGTCTTCCTGATCTCCACTTTCCCAGCCACATATCTATTTCTAGATATGTCTAGGTCTTTTCCCCCACCCCACTTCTAGGCACGTGATAAATGGAAATATTGTTTCTAAATTTTCTGCACTTGCAATTACTGCTCTGTAAAGTGCACACATTCACAGATCACTACTTCAGGGCACTATTAGAGGAAGCACACAACACTGGGGAGACTTGAGGGGGTGGCCAGGGGGCCACCAAGGTCCCAGCAGGAAAGAAGACCCTCACCCACCACCCTGCTTCTAGGCATGCAGTAATTGGAAATATTTCTTCTAAATTATCTGCAGTTCCAATTACAGAACTGTCTCAACCCAGCCCGCCACCAGCCCTGCATGTACTTGTGCCATGACACTATGGAGAGAGGAGAGTCAGGGCCCCACCCCACTGGTGCTCTCTGCGGGGCTTGGGGCTGTTATATGTGGCTGTTACATCCCAGAGCTGAGTGCATCACAAGACCCTGAACACCGATTTTTTTCTTAATTAAATTTCCTGTAATTAAATTATTTTGTGGGAAAACAGTTGTCTTTGCTCTATTGTCCATTGTGTTCTCCATGTTTGTGATGAAGCTAGGCACCCCTACAGGTGCACCCAACCCCAGCTGGCCCACACACTTATGCAACCCCTGTGGCCCACATCGCCCTCACCTGCCTGCACCTCTTACAGTCCTCTTGCACTGCACCATCACACCAGTACCCAAGGGTGTTCTGATTTGCAGAGTGCACTCAACTGTACAGTACCAAAACTTTTTTATTTGCAGAATTTATGTTACAACAAACAAACAACAATGGTCATCCTCCCAAAATAGTCCCACATCCAATAACTTGATATCATCATTCTTCACTTCTTTGAAAAATAAAGTGCAAATCATGACAATGCCACCTCAGTAGTAGTGTGCTGCTTTCTGTGAAAGAAAGGAAGAAACAAATTTTGTTTTCTTTTTCACCCTAGGTTATGGCATAATTGAGATTTCCACAATGCTTTAATATAAAATACCTGATCAATCACTGTCCTGATTGATAGTATTGTTCTGTAGTCTGTGTCTCTGTACCACACATTGATGGGTGAGGAACAGCTGTGAGGGGGAAATAACATTCAGCAATTAGCTGGGAAATGACATTCAGCACTTAGCTGAGTCTGAAATCTTAACCAAAAATCAGTGGGTTTTAAGACTTGAAAAATACCCGCAACTGGGAAACTTACCAATGTCCAGCACTCTGCCTCTTGGTATTAGACCTGAAACAGCGGCTGGTAGTTGGAGGATTCAGACTGGTGCAGTGCTGGCAAAGTGGGGAAGGACCATGTACACTGTGGGGCTATTACCTATAACCACTGTGGGTGGCATCAGCACTACTATTCTTTGAATGACTACAGGTGTAGGAGTGGGTGACCATGACAGAGGCAGTGGTGAATGTATTCTGTTCACAAGGTGAATTAGGTGTTTGGGGGCAGTTTGGCTAAACT